CAAAAAAAAAAAAAAAAAAAAAAAAGAAATGAACAGTTGGAAACAGAAATGTAAAGATCAGTGCCAAAAAAACCCCACAATGCCATTTACAGTAGCTCTCCAAACAAGAAATACTTTGGTATAAATCTAACAAAACATATACAAAATTTTGGATAAGTTACAAAATGCTGACAAAAGAAATCAAAGAAGATCTAAACAAATGGGGAAAATGTACCATGTTCATGGATTGGAAGACTCAACATAGTAAAGATGTCAATTCTCCCCAAATTGGTTTAGTGCAAATTAATCAAAATCTCAGTAGGATTTTTTTGTAGATATAGATAAACTGATCTAAACTTATATAGAAACTTTAAGTTTATATAAATAGCCAACACAATACGGAAGAATAAAGTGGAAGGAACCATTCTATTCAATTTTAAGACTTACTAAGGCCAGGCGTGGTGGCTCACGCTTGTAATCCCAGCACTTTGGGAGGCCGAGGCAGGTGGAACATGAGGTCAAGAGATCGAGACCATCCTGGTCAACATGGTGAAACCCCGTCTCTACTAAAAATACAAAAAAATTAGCTGGGCATGGTGACGCACACCTGTAGTCCCAGCGACTCGGGAGGCTGAGGCAGGAGAATTGCTTGAACCCAGGAGGCAGAGGTTGCAGTGAGCTGAGATCGCGTCATTGTACTCCAGCCTGGGTAACAAGAGTAAAACTCCACCTCAAAAAAAAAAAAAAAAGACTTACTATAAAGCTATACTGTAATTAAGACTATGCTATTTGTAAAGGGATAGGCAGACAGCCCAATGGAACGGAATAGACCCACACACATATGGCCAACTGATTTTTGACAAAGGTGTTAAAGCAACCCAATGGAGAAAGTGCAGTCTGTTTAACAACAAATGAGGCTAGAACAACATTTTGTTTCGTATGCCAAAAAAACAAACCTCAACTTAAACTTTACATCTTATACAAACTTAAATTGACAGGAAACAGATCTAAATGTAAAATGTAAAACTATGGTCAGGCATGGTGGCTCACGCCTGTAATTCCAGTACTTTGGGAGGCCGAGGCAGTGGATCACTTGAGGTCAGGAGTTTGAGACCAGCCTGGCCAAGATGGTGAAAACCCGTCTCTACCGAAAATACAAAAATTAGCTGGGTGTGGTGGCCAGTGCCTGTAATCCCCGCTACTTGGGAGGCTGAGGCAGGAGAATCACTTGAACCCGGGAGGTGGAGGTTGCAGTGAGCCAAGATGGCACCACTGCGCTCCAGCCTGGGCGACAGAGCAAGACTTTGTCTCAAAAAAACAAAAATAAAAACCCCAAAACAAAAGTAAAACTATAAAACTTTTTAAAGAAAACAGGAGAAAATCCTCATGACGTGCAAATAGGCAGAGTTCTTTTTTTTTTTGGAGATGGAGTTTCGCTCTTGTTACCCAGGCTGGAGTGCAATGGCACGATCTCAGCTCACCGCAACCTCCGCCTCCTGGGTTCAGGCAATTCTCCTGCCTCAGCCTCCTGAGTAGCTGGGACTACAGGCATGCGCCACCATGCCCAGCTAATTTTTTTTTTTTAGTTTTAGTAGAGACGGGGTTTCACCATGTTGACCAGGATGGTCTCGATCTCTTGACCTCGTGATCTACCCGCCTCGGCCTCCCAAAGTGCTGGGATTACAGGCGTGAGCCACCGTGCCCGGCCAAGCAAAGAGTTCTTAGACATGACATGGAAAGCATGAGCCAAAAAAGAAAAATTGATAAACTGAATTTGACCAAAATTAAAAGAAATTTTTTTTTCGCTGCAAAGGACACTCTTTAGAGAATGAAAAGACACACTAAAGACTGAGGAAATATTTGCAAGTCACATATCTGACAACAGACTTGTATCCTGCATATATAAAGAATTCTCAAAACTCAACTATAAGAAAACATCCAACCTAGTTAAAAAAGCAGCAAATAGCTTGAACTGACACCTCACCAGAGCATCTACCAAAGGGACATACGCACATGAAAAGCTGCTTCCCATTATTAACTATAAAGAAAATGTGAGTTGTGACCACGGTGAGGTACCAACACACATCTATCACAATGGCCAAAACCAAGAACACCAGCAACATCAAATGCTGACGGAGTGGAGCAACAGGAACTCCTGTATGTTGCTGGTGGGAATGCAAAACGGTACAACCACTTGGCAACACTGGTGGTTTCTGCCAAAGTTAAACATGTACATTCTGTCTGAGCCAGCAGCAATTCCACTTGTAGGTATATATCCAAAAGAAGGGGAAACATATGTCCTTACAAAAGCTTGCACATGAATACTTAGAGCTTCTTTATTCATAATTGCCCCAAATTGGAAACCATCCAAATGGCCCTTAACTAGTGAATGAATAAGCACATTGCGGTATAATAGAATATTACTCGGTAACAAAGAAAGCAACTCGGATTCATGCAACAACTTGACAGAATCTCGAAGGCACCAGAATGAGTAAAAGAAACCAGTCTCAGAAGGTCACAATCTGCATGATTCCATTTATACAACGTGCTGGTAAAGATGAAACTACAGCAACAGGGAACAGATCAGCGGGTGGGGATGCGGGGAGGTTGTGACCATCAAGAAACACCACGAAGGGCTTTTCAGGGCATTGCAGTTCTGCGGCGTCCTGATTGTATACAAATCTACTTATGTCAAAACTCATAAGGCTGGACACCAAAAAGCCGATTTTACTTTGAGTTAATTTAAGAAGGAAAATAAAAGTAAACATGGAAAATCGAGTTTGAAACGTGGAGACTTCGGAAGAGCGGTTAAGTAGTTATTTTGCACATGAGCATGGCAGTGAGAACTCGGCAGGGGCTGCAGGGAAACGTCCCCGCTCCATCAGTCCAGGTGTCTCGTGGATGGACTGATCCACGCCACTAAGAGGTTGATATTAACAACGATAACAATAATGACAACAGCAAAGGCAGCTGCAGCATCGACCAGTGGAGAGATGCCTGATGCATTCCCTTTTCACAACAGCCCATGACGCATGGCTTGTCCTCCTCTTTATACCCATGGCGAACCGAAGTTCAAACAGCTCTGCAGGCCAGCCTAGGGTTGGGTGGTCCCTCTGAGGCTGGCCTGACTCCATCAAGGGGCCACCTGGGCCCAGAGCAGACGACAGCCCTCTCCGGGCCTCCGGCTGCCTCTTACTCACCGTCCCTGCCGCCGCTGCTGCGAGAATAGTCATGGCCTACCCTGCTGGCCCCGAGAGCCTCCTACATACCGTGGCTGGAGATGACCGGGAGGTGTGGGCCAGGGAGTGTCTGGTGCTGTCCATCCCCCCGTGGATGAGATAGGCTCCTGTGCTGGAGACGATGGGGCTCCCCCCGACATCCATGGTGATGCCCACCATGCTGTGGGAGGGGACCGCTGGCGGGGACGAGGCTGCCACGGTCACCTGGGCACCGCCCGACGTCTCGAAGTAAGAAGCCGCGCTGCTGGGGGCGTACATCTGAGGCTCGGGGTTGTAGGTGTAAGCCGTTCGTCTATGAGAAAGAGAGAAGTCACGCATGAGATGCTGTCCCATTTAAACGTCTTGTCTGAGTTCATGGATACCCAAACATCATGTAAAAGTGGCAGCCCCGAGAGAGCAACATATGGAGCAATTTCGGACGTGGCATATGACATTCAAACACGGTGCAAGTTCAGAACCTTCATGTCAGGAAATCTTCAGGACCACAGGCTGGCTCATCAGGACTCACCACTTGAAAATTCTAGGCCAGGTGTGGTAGCTCATGCCTCTAATCCCAGCACTTTGGGAGGCTAAGATGGGAAAATTGCTTGAGGCCAGAAGCTTGAGACCAGCCTGGGCACATAGAGAGAACCTGTCTCTACAAAAAACAAAAGATTTAGCCAGGAGTGGTGGTGCGCACCTGTGGTCCCAGCTACTCAGGACGCTGAGGTGGAGGACTGCTTGAGCCCAGGACTTTGAGGCTGCAGTGGGCTGTGACTGCACCTTTGTACTTTAGCCTGAGCAACAAAGCAAGACCCTGTCTCTTAAAAAAAACAAAGATAAAGCTGAAAATTCTAAGTAGATATATGGGTCCCATGAGGGAGCTCCTGCATGGAGATGGAGCAGTTCTGTATCTTGACGGTGGTGTTGTTACACAAATCTACACGTGGGCTGAAAATGCACAGAAATAGATACACACACACATGCAAGCCCTCACAAATGAACCTGCAAAGCCACATGTACTCCATGTGCAAGCACACACACAAATGCATGTGCACAAAGACTGGTAGAACTGAGTAAGGGCTGGGTAAGGCTAGGTAACAGTTTTACCCCACGTCAATTTCCAGGGTTTTTGTTTGTCTTTCTGAGACAGGCTCTCCTTCTACAGTCCAGCCTGGAGTGCAGTGGCGAAACCATAGCTCACGCAGCCTCAGCCTCCTGAGGGCAAGTGATCCTCCTGCTTCAGCCTGGGATTACAGGTGTGCACCACAGCAGCGGCCGGGGTTACGGGCGTGCACCAGCACAGCGGCTGCAGTTACGGGCATGCGCCACCACAGGTGCTGGGGTTACGGGCGTGCACCACCACAGCAGCTGGGGTTATGGGCGTGCACCACCACAG